TCTCTTGGCAAATTTGACAGTTCTGTTGTCACAGTTCTTGTTGTTTATTCCAAAGGTGAAGTGTTTACAGTGCTACTTGTATTTCTGATTTCTCTTTTTCCAACTTTGAGATGAAATCGATCTCTCACTGAAATTGCTACAAAATTGGGGATAGCAGTAAACTCATTGAAATAAAATAACTGTGTCTCACCTAGAATTTCATCAATGGTTCGTCACTTTCCAACCGATGTCCCCTCAACCTTAAGGTAAACTCAGTTTATATCTCTCAATGTAGTTGGTGGTGATCTAGACCCTGTAGGGCAATATGGCAACTGAGAGGAGGTTCCCCCTGGTAGGGAAATACAACAATCACGAGAGGGTCCGGGGGTCAGATTAGGAAGGTTTTTCGTTCATACAGCATACCTTCTGGTAGTCTGTGCATTTTTTTTCCTTTTCTACTTTCTTTATCATGTGAAATTCTATTCTTGGTTTGAATTTTCAGTTCCCATATTCATTTTTTTTTTCAAAATACCTGCTATGAATGAAACCGCCCCCCCAAACCCGATTCCTCAAGGGATTCCCCAACATTGCTGAAGGGAGTCAGGGATTCTGTCTCTGACAGGTGCAGTCCTGCTGGAAACAATTATCAATGATAAAATAATAGAGAGGTCTCAAGCAGTGAGCTCTATCTTGTCAAAATATCTATCAAGGAGGTTTGCAAGCCTTGGCATGAGCGCTAACAACTGCGGAGGCTGCGGTGGTCAGCAACTTGCAGGCACTCGGGGGCAGATGTGTCTTCTAAACAATTATCTGCTTAACAATTTACTTTTGGATGCCACTATTATTCCACACTTCTTTTTTTTTTTTTTTTTACTGTAACCCTGATTGTTATCCACTGTAAATTTACAAAAAAAAACACTAGCCCAAGGTACTTAAAAAGAGAAAGTAAATCACTATTCATTCCCATTAATTCCAGAAATGGCAAAGTGATGTAGAAAAATAACCAAAACATCATGGAAAAACACTGCAGAATACTTTCTACACCAAGAATCAGTTCCAAAATATTTTTAAAGATGAGAAAAAAACATGAATATCCCGCTACTTCCACAAAATAACATCAACCATCGCAGTAATGAGAGACATGAACACCAAAACTCAACAAAAACAGACAGAATAACATCACCATTCCGACGAAGAGCAAATGACAAATCGAATAAGATTAATAACATCTCGCAAGAACATCACTCATTCCCTCTCTTCCTCCTCCATAAATGGCCTTGGAGCTTTCAAAAACTACTTTTTCCGACTTTTTCCCTCTCTCAGCACCTATTTCACACTTGCGTATCCTCGCCCACTTACCTCGGGAAAGGTGGAAGGTTCAGCCTGCAAAAATCAGATAAAAAAATCCTTTTTCTTCGAATAAAATTTCTTGGGACATCTGTCAAGGCCAAACAAACTCACTTATTTAAGACGTATTTCGCGGCTTGGTTCCACTCTAGTCCCTTCTCACGGGCTTACGGAAGGACATCGAGTGCTCCTCCATCGTGTACTCACATTTAGAAGTTGAAAAGGGGATGTTCAACGAGTAAGAATTCCCTTTTTCCGGAGAGCAACCTCTTTTACGTACAACATCCAGTCGCCATTGCTGACACTAGATAATACTTTCCACGAACGTATCGTTTATCGCGCCAGTTGTGTGTGTTTTGGGTTCTTTTTATTTATTTCGTACCTTTTTGGTTTACATCAATGATATATTTGCTCTTTGGGATAAAAAGAAGGATGTAGATAACATGGACGTAAAAAAAAGAAAAATGTAAGAGAGAGCTGGATCAAAAAATAAGCCGAATCTTGAAAGAAATTTTTCTTTGATAGAAATTTTTCATGTCGAATCAACTTAAAAGATTATTTCTACTAAATATCTAAAGAAAGCCGTGCTGTGTTTCTTTGCACATGATAGACAATCAATATTTGAATGTTTTATCCTGTCCAAATTCTCCAATATCTGCATATGTTTTTTCAAACATTGGTCTTGACTAATTGTAAAATATGATAAGATTTAATTACATCAACTGTTATTTGTATGATTCGCTGACTCACTTTTCCTTTATATGCTCGCGGTCACTAAAACTTCAGCCATATATGCCAAATGCGTCCGGTATCAAATCTCGAGTCTAGCAATATCTTGCAATTCATTCAAATGTTTCTCTTTGCTATCCATAGATGGCGTTAGTAAAATCTTCGCTAGTACTGTTATTGTCCTAATAATAATGCTTGTAATAACGATGATAACAGTGATGATAATGAAGATAACTATGATAGTAATAACGATAATGATAATGATGATGATAACGACAGTTATAATGATAACTGTAATGATAAATGATGATAGAATAATAGTAATAATGATAATGATATTTGTAATGATGATGATATTCATGATAATGACGATGATAACGATGATAATGAAAATAGTCATGATAAATATGATTATAATAATAATAATAATAATGATAATAATAAT